AGGTGTCGACTTGCCCCCCGGGAATCGTGAAGCACAACGAGAGACTTTCCTGTCCGTAGGCAACGTTGCACTGCCCTCCAACGTTAGCGAAAGTGTCCGTGTCGTAGTTTTTTCGAGCGCGGCTAAAACGGGGCCCGAGTGAGTTGCCCCTGCCTCACACGCGAAGAACGCGAGCGACTTTGCTTGCATCGGCCGTTTGCCAGCGCGATCGCGACATCTTCCCTTTGGGTAGCCTGCCGAGGTGGCTGCTTTTAGAGCGCCTGGTTGTCAGACGCGAGTGCACGTTTGTCACGTGGCTTTAGAGTGCCTCATTGTTGCAGTGTGCAAAAGCCCCGCAATGACTGCTTGGGAAATATTTCAGCCACCGGACACCATTTTTTCCCCCGCAAAATCCTTTTGGTCAAGCTGCGATCGACCACCTAATCTGATCCAAACCTCCTCCAAAGCGGTGCTGATCTCAAATCCCAAGCGACGCAACGCCACCACCGACGGGGATCCGTCAGTCGCGACAGCATTTGCAAACCGGAATTTCACAGGCAGACTGAGCTAGCCTCTTTCATTCCTATTGGTTGAAAAAAGTACTGCACAGATAGATTCATCAAAGGGAGGAAACGCTGGTAGTCCACTTGCCCCCATCCCCCCCCCAAAAAAAAAGACCCATCCCAGAGAGAAACGGATGTTTTGGGTGAAGCCGAGCCATGTTCCACTGCTGAGTTTGCTCTTTCTTTTTCTCTGTGTCTTTTTGAAACATTAATCAAAAGGAAAACACTTCCCAGAAGTCGAGATGGGGAAGATTTTCTTCATCAGCCGTTTCCTGCCATTGTCCGTTTCCGTTTCCAAACCAGGAAACCGACTTTGATCCGGGAAGGCAACAGACGTATCGAGAATACGGACTGTTTCAAAAAAACTTGGGAAGGAATGTGTCAACATCATCATCGCAACCCGCTGTTGGTGATCCGACGGAAACGGCGTTCTAACGGTAAAAAAAGGAAAAAACAAAGCGCCTCGGATAGAGTGACAGCCGAAAGAGGGCGAGGAAAGGTGGAGATGAGATCGAAGAACACGTAGAAGAAGAAGATGAGCGGCGCAGAGTAGAGTGGAGATGACGGCTCTGACTTGAGCATGACCGAGCGCTAAAAATAGAGAGAAAAAAAAAAGTGCGGCTCCGGCTCAGCTT